AAGACTCTAGTAAACCGGTAACCCGCCCTTAGCCTCTTACTAAACTTTCTAGTTGGAGATAGGGATACTTTTATCTAGTTAGCCTAGAGCCATTTCCCAGGTCTCGGACAAAATGACTATATACCCGTAGCCTCTTATAACACTTTCTAATTGGAGATAGGGAGACGTTTATTTAGTTAGCTTACCTTAGATTAGCCGCTTAGCGCGATTTTAGGCCGTCGGCCAACTTTAACCGCCTTAAATAGGCGATCGTAGGGGTAATTCGTCGAGAGACGAGCGATGGACGTGCGAATGGGTCGATTCTGTAATAGAATAAAGCGTCAAAATAACAGTAGGACGTGAGCGTAGAGGTATAGCTAATAAATAAGAGATTTAGTAGGGTAGTAAGAGTAAGAGAGAGAGAAAGTAGGTAGTGATAACTAGATAAAATTATCCCTACACCCCTTTAGGAAGGGTTGACCGGGTCGGCAGCGACTACCAGACAAAAGTGTCCCTATCCACTAGGGTCGACGTTCTAACGTATTAGCCATCCAGATAAAAGTGTTACTGGCTACCGAGGTCGAGCGGCCACCTAGAGATATAAGATTATCGTCATCTACCGCGATGGTAAATATATCGAGGGTCAGTAGATATTGGAAACCTCGACCCGTAAACGCGTATAGGTACTTAGATAGTTAGGGCCCCGGCCGAGCCTAGGACTTGATATTTACCTATACCTTCACCTATAACTATTATACATTCTTCGAAAAGTCTGTCGCTAGCGTCGGTCGGGCTATCCCTACTCCTCGCGTAGATCATTTCTATAGTGGCTATCTACGAGTATAGTCCGCGCGTAGTTAAGTTAATACTACGTCCGAACCTTAGTACGCTAGGAGATTAATGTCGTCGATATAAGGTTTTAGATGCGGTCACCTTAATAGGCTTTAGGATCTAGGGACACTTTTATCTTATTAGCCGCGTACGAATGAGCCTAAGTAGACGCGTCGTACTATATACTGGCGGCGGAACGTACGGTACGGACAGGGGTGGCCGACCAGACAAAAGTGTCTCTGGATACTAGGCCCCGGGGGTGAGCGAGACCTATAGACGATAAAGTAGACGATGCTGATGAAATAGACGCTGCTAGTACTGGAGAGATGTGAAAGCTTCTCAGCCTTTACGTACGGTCGCTCTTAGTCGTACGCTAGGCTACGGAGCGTCATGATGTTAGAGTACGGTAACTACGCCGTACGTGGGAGATATCGACTCGTTAGTTAATCCCGTGGTGGATAGGTTAATCGATGTCGACTATAGTAGACGATTTAACCTATAAGGGTGAAAGGATGATATTAGTCTAAAGACTCGATATATGATGTAAACAACGTGTTTCCCCGGTAACCCGCATCGAGGAGTAGTTGGACTCGATAAAGTTAGCCGCTACGACTAAACGTCTATAGCTCATGATGAAGGGTATTTAATTCTCGGCCTATAGTATCTAGTAGACTAGTTTGGGAAGGTCTATGAGTGTAACCTGACTCTCGGAATAAGAGGGATGGGGTCGTCCTCCGCCGTCTCGCGAAGCGACGCCTAGCGACTACGAGAATCGCCCCGCGCGCGGCGGCTACTAGCTGACGTCCGATGGATAACTCGACCAGTCCTCTTAAGATGGTTCTACCTCCTCTTCCCGTTAGAGAAACGTCTTACTAAGCTCTAGGAAGTCGTAGTAGGACTCCTCGAGGAGACC